GGCTGACACCAGCTCAGAGAGGTTGAGGGTGGTGCCCAGGGTCACCGAGGACAGGGATCCGAGCCAGCTGACTGGCATTCCCAGGAGGGGAGTGAGGGGCGGCTTTGCCAGGGAGCTGCTGGCAGGGGAGGAGGCCTGGCAGCAAGTTCACCCAGAGGAGAGGCAGCCTCTGGCAGTTTCCTCTCTGGTGGCAGAGCCGGTGCTCTGTGAAGAGCGTGGGCTGGGACCTCGAGGAACCCACATGCTGGCTGCGTTTCCAGGGAGCTGACAAACCTATTGGAACTGGTTCTTGGCAAGGCTCCCGTCTCCCACATGTGCCAGGAGGGCTGCAGCGCAGCGGGGCCAGGCCCTGCCAGGCTCTGCTGGAGAGACCCTGGCCGGGGGAGTGGTGGGCAGGGCCCCCCTGAGGGAGGCCAGACCCTGAAGCCTGAGCACATGCTGCATCCAAAAGGAGGGAGCGGGGAAGGAAGCCTCCTGGGAGGCCCAGCTGGACTGGAAGACTCCTTGGGGACTCCCTGTGGCTCTCCTCCAGGCTCGGGGGAGGGCAGCTCACACCTGAAGGCTGCACAAGCTTCCCTTGGGGCTGTACTGGGAGTGTCCTGGAGCCTGGCAGTGCCAGGGGGCAGGGCCTCTTGGTACTCTGGTGGTCTTCATAGCAGCCCCTAAAGACAGGTGTGATCATCCCATTTTCTAGATGGAGAGACTAAGGCGCAGGAAAGGGGCCACTCTACTCTTCAGTGGTTTAGCCGGGACGTGCTGGTGCAGACTCACCACGGCTCTTGGCCTTGAACGCCCCCTGCCTGCCTGCATCCCCACCCCCACCTAGCCCAACCCCCATGCCAGGCAGAAGCTTGGCACTTGGAGGGCCTCTGGGCGCCTGAGGGACATATGGGTCAGTGCTCAGCACGCCCCTGGGCCTTTCCAGGGCAGGGTGCTGCCGTGCCCCCAACCACACTTCCTCAGCCCCGCCCCCCACCCTGGCCACCTCCTGCTCACTTTTAGACCTTGGTTCCAACATTACCTTCTCCCTGAAATCTCCCCTCTTTGTAAGTGCCCAGGGCCCTGTGGTCTCCCTTCCCTGGCTCTCACAGCCCCGTGCTGACGGCAGGGAGAGTGGTCAGGAAGGCTTCCTGGGGGAGGCAGTGGTTGTGTTCGGGTTGGGAGCTGCGGGCCGGGTGCGGTGTGACAGCCAGGCTGGCCCAGGCTCTGCACCTACAGCTGGTGGAGGGAGGTGGGGCTGGGCCTTGCTGCCAATTTCGGCTTTATCCTGAGGCAGGCAGCAGAGGTTCTGGCAGGGGAGCCCCCGGGGTGGTTTCTGTGTTTACAGCCCTCGGGGCAGCTCTAAAGCTCTCTGGGACCCAGGCGGGGTGCTGCACAGTACAGGATGGATGGACAGATGGCTGGCCGGTGTCCTGGGGACAGGAGGTGGGAGAGCAGGAAGGGCTGGAGCCAAGAGGAGGCTGGGTGGCATTCCCACGCTTTGTGGGTCTCTGGAGAGAACCGGCAATTCTTTTCCTTGGTGTCTCTTCCCCAGCTGTGGCCTTCAGTCCCCTAAGAGCTGGAGCTGAGCGCAGTGACTAGGGATGGGACGTGGCCCTGGACGGTGTGTCCCCCTCCATTCCAGCATGGGCTCGGCACTGGAGAGAGGGAGCTGACCCTGGGCACTCAAGGGACCCAGCAGGGGAGCTTCCTGAAACCGTCTGTGAGGACGGCAGCAGGGCCGTGACAGAGGAGAGGATGCTGGGAGGAGAACCGGGACAGCTCGTGTAGGAGAGATGCCTGAGCTGTTTCCAAGGGCTAGTGGCAAATCTGCACAGACTGGGGGGAGGAAGAGGCCCACGCGAGGGCCTGGCAGCACGGACGCAGGTGCAGTCCTGACACCCAGGCAGTGGGTGCAGCTGCAGGGAAGGCGTGTGCGTGTGTGCGTGCATGTGTGCGCGCGTGTGTGAGTACAGAGGGAGGCAGGAAGCAGGCCCCTCCCTGCCTGGGACCCTCTGCCCATGGGCACTTCCCCGTGCCCCATGTCCTCTGCCTGCTCATCTGAGGTCCTAGTGGATGCCCCACGTCATGACAGGTGTGGCTTCCTATGTCTACCTTCTGTGGGTCAGGACCCCTTCTCGCTTATCCTGACCCCAGTGTCCTTGGGGGGAAGGCTGTGCCCCAGAGGTGAGAGCAGAAGAGGGGAATGAACACCTGGCCAAGCCCTGTGGGTGGAGTGTGCACCAGGTGGGAGGCGACGGGAATGGTGGGCACTGCGGAGAGTGGCACTGTGTGTGCTCTCATGGGGCACGGAGGCCACCGAGCTCCGCCAGCATTGCTGTCTGGGAACTCAGGCCTGGTGCCGTATCTGCGGGCTTTTCAAGAGAAGCTGGGAATCCAGATTTTGTATGAAGTCTCTTGTTTTTAAATAACTAATTTATAAAAATGTTCCAAACGTCCTACAAGCTAAACAGGCCCATCTGTGGACGGACCCATGTGGCCTGTTGTTGGGAGTGGGTTGCTGAGCCCTGAGCGAGGTGAGAGGGAGCAGGAGCTCCGTGTCCCCAGACCAGGTGGAAAGGCTAGGACGCAGTGAGTGGTGGCCCTAGGGCCTCTGGATGACGCGCTTCTTCTCAGAGATAACCTGGGCGACCAGCAGGCCCGTCTTGCAGTGGCATCAGCCCCCGTACTGTGCTCAAGGCTGTTGACTGACCTGTTGGGCCCCACCCCGTGGGCAGGGGCGGCGCCTTCTCTCCTTGTCAGTGCTGCAGCCTCTGTGCCTCTGCCTGTGGCCCAAATACCCCACGTCCTGGGAACTGCTGGGGAGCAACAGGGAAGCAGGGCTGGGCGGCAGATGCCTCACTTAGGTGTTTGCACACCGGCGTTGGGGGCAAGTGGCACTGTGGCCTAGGACATTCTCCACACCTGGAGCCAGACTGCCGGGGTTTGAGCCTTGACCCTGCCACGTGCTGGGAGAGCTTGGGCATGTTCTTAAACCCCTCTGCCTCTCAGCGCGCTCATCTGAGAAGTCAAGATGAGGATGATGATGAAAGTACTAGTCCCTAAGGTAGCGAGCTGTGTAGGATTAAATATGGGGCTGTGTGTAGTGTGCTCAGAACAGCGCCTGGCACCGGAGCAGCATGTGTTAGCCACACGTTAGCCACTTCAGCACACTGTCCTCACACTCACATACACCCGACATGTGCATGCCCGTGCACACACACAAGCCCCCCCCACACACGTGCACACACACTTCTCCCTGAAGCATTGATGGCATCCTCCAGGCACAGCCCACGTGGGTGTGTTTTCTTGGAGGGAGGAGTCTGCATCCCCCAAGTTCTATACATTTTGTCTTGGGGAGGGGAGGAGCCTTCGCCGCGTCCAGCCCTGTGCCAGGCACCGCGTCAGGGACTGATGGGTCTTGTTTTAAAGCAGCCCCTGCATGGTGGAATCTGCCTTCTTCCTCCCTCCCTCTGTCCCTCATCTGCCGTCTTGTCCTGTGTCGAGGGCTTTGGATCCTTCTCTCTCTGATTTCTTTTCTTTCTTTCTTTCTTCGTTTTTTTTTTGCAAATGTTACTGAAGTGTAGCACGCTGCAGAAAAGTGTGCAAGTGGTAAGTGTGAGCGCGGTGGATGTGCCTGGGTCAGCGGTGTCTGGAGACAGCGTTGCTGGCGCCCCAGACGCCCCCGGGCCCCTTCTGGCCACAGACCCACCAAGGTGGCCGTGTCCGGGCCTGACGGCGCAGATTAGTTCGGCCTGCTTCTTAACTTCACGTAAATGGTGTCGCGCCGTGTGTGCTCCGGGGTCTGGTTTCTTTTGCTTCCGATTATGTTTTTGTTTTTCAATTTTTGTTAATGTTCATAAAATACACCTAACATAAAACTGACTGTCTTCACCATTGTCAAATATGCGATTCAGTAGCACGAAGGTCATTCAGATTGTCACACAACCACCAGCACCATCCCCCTCCAGAGCCCTTCTCATCTCATCTCAGCTGCAACTCCGAGCCCGTGAGATCCTAACTCCCGCCTCCTGCCCCAGCCAGCCCCGGCGGGTGCCGTTCCCCTCTGTCTTGCCGAACTCCATCATTCCAGGTTCCTCTCTAAGGGGACTCGCACGGCGCTCGTCCGTCTGTGAATGGTTTACTCACGTAATGTTCTCAGGGCTCGTCCATGTTGTCGCAGGTGTCGGGGTTTCCTTCCTTTTCAGGCTGGGCCACGTCCCGTCGTGTGTGTACGCCGCAGCTCCGCCGTGCATCCGTGTCGTGGCATCGTGAGCAGTGCTGCAGTGAACACGGTGTGCGCGTGTCGCCTCGAGACCCTGCTTTCACTTCTTTTGGGTCTAGACCCGGAAGCAGGATTACTGGATTATGTGGTGATTCTCTCTGTAGATTTTCGAGGACCTGCTCTACCGTTTCCGCCGCAGCTGCACCGTTTCACACTCCGCCAGCGCGCGAGGGTTCCGTCTTCTCCCTGTGCTCGCCACCCCTCCTTATTCGCTGTTTTTCCACACGGTGGCCGTCCGAGTGGGTGTGGGGTGGTACCTCAGCTTTCCCTAACGATCGGCCATGCTGAGTCGTGGCTGTGTTTTTCACGTGACCGTGCCGTCTGTCTGTCCTGCGAGCCGGGCCTCACCCGTTCTCGTGAGCACAGTGCTCTGCGGCAGGAGCAGAGCACAGGTACCGTTCCTCTGCCACCCGTGGGCGTCGATGGTTTCCCACTTGGAGTGTCTGCAAAACTGATGGACGACATCGTGATGCCTGTGCCCTGCGCATCGTGATGCCTGTGCCCTGCAGGCCGCGTGCTCCTGGCTGGGACGAGCTGAGGTCAGGCCAGGCCACGTGCCCCCTGCTCTCTCCTGCTCTCTGTCCACGGGGCCGGGCCCGGCCTCCTGGTGCACCTTCCCAGTGTATAGCTGGCTTCCTCAGGCCCTGACAGCAGCACTGCCTCCATTGTCCCGGTGCCCTCTGCCCCACACAGGGCTGGGGGGCCGAGGGTGTGACCAGCTCCTCTCTGTGCCCAGGGATCTTTGGGCAGCGCCTGGAGGACACAGTCCACCATGAGCGGAAGTATGGCCCCCGCCTGGCCCCGCTGCTGGTGGAGCAGTGTGTGGACTTCATCCGGGAGCGCGGGCTCACCGAGGAGGGGCTCTTCCGCATGCCAGGCCAGGCCAACCTGGTGAGGGACCTGCAGGACTCCTTTGACTGTGGAGAAAAGCCACTGTTTGACAGGTGAGCTTCGGGGAAGGGGGCTATGGATGGGGCCCCTGTCCGTTCCCCCTGCAGGGCTCTTGCCCAGAGCTCCAGCTCCAGTGGGTGGGGTGGACCCGCACCCAGGAAGCTGAGCAACAGGACGGTGGGTGGGATGGCTGCCCACGTTGGCGCACAGGTGCTCACCCAGCCCTCCCGGTGGGCAGAGTATAGGGCACAAACTCACCTTGGCAGCCCTGGGTCTCCTCTCAGGGTGGATGCCTGCCACAAACCCGGCCCGCTCACATCCGTTCTGGCAGCTTCCACGCACATGCTCATCACCCTGACCTGACAGAGGCAAGGGCCCTGCCAGCTGCTGTGCTGGCGTAGTTCAGGTGCGGCTGTATCCAGGACTCCAGCCTCCTGTGAGGTCTGTGTTTAGGCTCTGCCTCCTTGGGTGACTCTCCCCAGGCTCTGTCGGTGACAAGATGGTGCAGCAGCTCGCCACCCCCTCAGGTTTCAGGGACAGGAGAGCAAATCTCCTCCACCTGTCCTGGGGCCGTTAGCCTCCTAATCCGTCATAAGGGACTTACCCAGGCCTTGGAGTCCTGCCTGGGTGGAGTCAGCTGTACTCATAGCCCAGGAGCTGCAAGTAGGGGAGTCATGGCTCACCCCCACCCCAGGGCTGTTAAGAGGCTCTCTTCTCCCTGCCAGAACCCCACCCATTAGGGGGCCATTTTCCATAGAAAGTTCATTCTGCATTGAGCCAACTCTAGCCTCCGTGGAGCTTCTGTCCTTTCTTCTCAGATCTGCCCTCACAGATGAGGCCCGCTTGTGCCCCAGGACAGGCGGCCAGCACGCACAGGCAGCCAGGGCTTCCCGGGCAGAACCGCCCCCAGTCCCTCCAGCTCCTCCCCAGCTGCACCACAGCCACAGGAGTTGGTCAGTCCTTTCCTTAGATGTGGAGCCCCGGGAGGGCTTAGGGTCCCTTCAGCTACAGCCTCCTGAAGCTCCATCCCAGTGCTGACTCTCAGTGAGCTTGTGGTCCATTCTGACCCTCTGCCAGCCAGGTCTCTTCCTTCCTGTGCCTGTGTAGCCTCAAGTAAGTTAGGGTTAGAAATTGCTTCAAATAATGCCACATGGGCAGGGCCTGGGAACAGGGACTTTTAGAAGCTCTCCAGGATCAGATGCACTGCCCTAGTGCCTGATGCTACGTGAAGGATGTCTGCAAACACAGATCAGACCTCGCCACTGCCCTGCTTAAGCTCCAGTGGAGTTCTCTGCGGTGGCCGCAGGCTGGCCGAGGCTCACCCCCCAGGCTGTGTCTCCACCCTGACACACCGCTGTGCCGAGGTGCGTTCTCGGTGTGCTCAGCCTGGCTGCCCTCCCTGCCCTGCCCGCCTGCTGGGCCCCACAGAGTGTTCCGTACCCCAGCTTGCAGACCCGACTCCTGGCCTCTTAGCGGTGGGGGGCAGGCTGCCCCTGCCTCCTGGACGCACCTTCTCCTGTCTGCCTTCCTGTCTGGCCACTCCTACTCTTCCAGAGTTGTGTCTGGAGGCCCGTCTCCAAGCTTGTCCCCCCACCCCACCTTCTCAGCAGTGACCCTCACACCCCACGGGCGCCCTGGGCTTGGTGCCCTCTCCCGTTAGAAACTCCTCTGGGGTACCTGAGACTTTCTCTCCTGCTTTCTGCCGCGTCCATGGCGGCCCCTCTGGCTCTGTGGCTGTGCCCACCCTGCAGAGGGTCCCAGGAGGGAGCTCTCTCTCCCAGACTCCAGCCTGCCACCTGCTGGGGTGTCGGCTTCCATCCTTGGCCCCCGTTCCCCACGAAGCCCCCTCCTCACCTCCCTGCTCACCTCTGTAAGAACATCCCCTCCAGCCCGTGGTCCTAGGCCCCTCCCCCATAAAGACCCCCACCAGGCCTGGAAGCCTCAGTGACCCTGCTGTCCTGTCCCCGGCCCTGCTGTCCTGTCCCCGGCCCTCCCGCCGCTGCCCCAGGCTGGGCTTCAGCAGCTCTCCCGGGCTGTCCGCTCGGCTTGTTGCTGAGCGCCGAGGAGGGTCTCCTCTGTGCCAGCCGCTCGGCGCTCCACCGACTCCTGGCAGTGAGCCTTTTTTTTTTTTAACTTCACTCACCTCCTGTCCACTGGGGGAGGAGGCCCTGGGGAGGCGACGAGTAGGGCAGGCGCCCTGTGCAGCGGACATGCTAAGGGAGCCGGGACCAAGCCTGGCGGTAGGGACTCAACGGCGCTACAGGCTGGGGCGGGGAGGCTCTCAGGTAGCTGTGCGAAGGCCCAGGCTCTTCCAGAAGGCCAGGGCGGTGTTTTCCTGGCTCTGAGAGGCCAGTGAGGCGGGAGGCAGGGCCTGGGCCAGGCAGAGGATGGGGGCCGGGTGACGGGCAGCGAGAGCCAGACCGCCAAGGGGACAGCGGGTTCTAGGGGAGTAAGGTGGTAGGGGGTGGCAGGAGGCTGTGGCCATGCTCCGGGGGGACACCGTGTTGGCGGGGGCGAGAGGGGCCCTTGGGAATGGAGCGATGCGGAGTGACCTGCACACGGAGGCGCCGCGGCTAAGCTGGGCGCCTCGCTCGCTGACAGGAGGGCAGCTGAATCGGCCGGGGCAGGCCGCGCACCCACTGACCAGCTGCTGCCCTGCCCCGCCCCGCCCTGCCCCCCATGGTAGCATCCACCCAGGCTGGACGCCTGTGGGCCACAGGCTGTGGAGCATCGTCCTGGGGTGCTGGTGGGTGCGGAGGCCTGGATTCATGGCGGGTGTGGCGGGGGAGGGGGCGGGGCGCTCAGGACGGGCACCCTGCAGGAGCTGGGAAGGAGACAGTGGAGACAGTGGAGACAGTAGGGCGTGGGGCGGGGGGCGGTAGGCAGGGCTGAGCAGTAGGACCCTGCAGGGCCCTGGCTGTGGGGTAGGCTCCAGGCAGGGATGTAGCGGGGAGGTCTGCACGTGGAGGGACCACTCTGCGTCCACTCGCCCAGGGCAGAAATGCATCCGTCCCCACCTGCACGAGTGGGGAGATGAGACGAGCTGGCTCTGTCCACACTTCTCTGCTTTGGCCACCTGTCCCTCTACAGGGCAAACCTGATGACCTGGTTCCTGTCCCTCCTCCTCCTCTCCTGGTTCCGGCTCATGCAGAGGCTGCTGTGGAACCCGTGGGGCCCCAGTGGGAAGGGGCTGTAGGCACCCAGGGGTGTGGGCAGAGGTGACCTGGGAGAGGGCAGTGGAGGGTGTGAGCAGGGGCATGCCTGGCTGGGGGACGCAGGGGTCAAGAGCCAGTGGGCTTGAGTCAGGGAAGGGTCCAGGGTGTGTGGATGTGGGGTACACATGGGCATATGAAACCCCAAAGTCCCAAATGTCAGGGCAGAAGGGACGCACCAGCATGGGACTCGGCCGGGGCCACGTCACACCTCAGTGGCACAGCGAGGTGTCCTGGCCCCAGGCCCATCTTTCCTGAATTCCTCCACTGAGGGGTGCGCATGCAGGTCCAGGGTTTAAATCCAGGGCCGTAGACAAACAGACGAACTACTGGGGCCCAGATACGGCTTGGGATGCGAGCAGAGGAGACGCCTGTACATCTAGCATGGGAACTGAACCGCAGAGCCCAGCTTCCCTGCTTCCTGGACACACCTGGTGGGGGGGCATATCCAGGTCCCGGACCCCACCATCCACAGCTGTCCCACTTCAGCCTGGGAAGCTCCCAGAGTAGGAGACCAAGGCCTGGAGTGGACACATGGGGCACTGGAGTAGGGGTTGGAGCACGGGCTTGACCTCTGACCTGCCCCTGATGGCCAGTGCCCGGGACTCCTGCTCTCCGCCAAGGAGCCGGCGGCTTTGCATGGTGGGTGCCTTTGGCACAGCTCCCCGACTTCTAGCCAAGGATGAGCCCAGGGGGAGAGCAGATGCAGGCTGGGGCTGGGGCAGCACCTAGTGGGGGCCTGCAGGACAGCTGTTCCCACCCCAGGGAGCAGGCAGCTCCCACATCGCCCTGCAGGGGACCTTGGGATGGCCACAGGCCTGTGGTAGGGGACTCCCTGGCCCGCTGCCACCAGGCCCTGCCCTGTGAGCTGCACAGGTCCTGCGTGATCCCCTGGCCCAGAGCATCCACCGTGGTGGAGAGGTGCTGTCCCTGTCAGACTGACAGAGACGTGGGACTCGGGAGCTGGAGCTCCCAGCCACGGAGCCTCGGTCTTCCCTCTGCAGCCCTGGCAGCCCCGGCCAGCGCTCCCGGAAGCAGCCGGGCCTTCCTTGACCAGGGGCCATCAGCTGCCTATGCAGCCCGCTGTGTGCACACACGGACCTGAGAGCAGAGTCTGCCGCTGGGTGGGGTGGAGGTGCCGGTCACTCCTGTAGTTCCCTGGCGTCCCAGGCCTCATACTTCTCCGTTCTTCCGCCCCCAGCACAACGGACGTGCACACGGTGGCCTCCCTGCTGAAGCTCTACCTGCGGGAGCTCCCCGAGCCTGTGGTCCCCTTCGCCAGGTATGAGGACTTCCTCAGCTGCGCCCAGCTGCTCACCAAGGACGAGGGGGAGGTCAGTGGCTCCTGGGGACCTATCCTGGGAGGTGGGCTGGCTGAGCAGCTGCATAGAGAGTCAGGACACAAACTCTGACTTTCCATGAATTTTCGTGGCACGTGGATCCTGGCTAGAGGCCTGCTCTGTGTGGGGGGCCTCCCCGCGTGCTGGGCTTGGTTCCTGGGGGACAGGTCCAGGGTGCCCAGCCCTGGCTGCCATACTGCAGGGGCTCCTACTCCACCACCCGTCCCCATGCCTGACTCAGACCCCCAGGCCTGCCATGGGGCACAGAAACTAGGGCACCTTTTACCTGTTTATGTCCCGCCTCCTTCCCAGAAAAGTGTGAGCCAGCCACAGGACAGAGGCTGGTCTGCAGTCCCCGGCTCGGGGCTGGGCGGACTGTTTGCCTTCCCGTGGCTGTGGGGGAGACGAGGGGTCGTTATCTGGCAAATATTTGTGCCTTGATAAGTGGGCCGAGTGCTGGCCCTGACATTCCTCTGTGGCCCGGCAGAGGCTCCCCCTCACACCAGCTCCCTGAAAGCAAGTCAGCTCCCCCAAGAGGCCGCAGCCTGTCAGGGGTGGAGCCTGCTGGGCCGGGCGAGCCTGGGCGCATGGGCCGCCCGCTTCTCCTTCCCACCCCTCCCCCAGGCCCATCCAGGCAGAGGGGGGCACGTGGCCTCATGGCTGTGTCTGAAATTCTGTGTTTTTCTCCTTCCTTCCCAAGGGGACTCTGGAGTTGGCTAAACAAGTGAGCAACCTTCCTCAGGCCAATTACAACCTGCTTAGATATATCTGCAAGTAAGTGGCATGGGGGCGGGGGACCACCCCTCCTGCGCCTGCTCACCGCCCCCGTGCACACAGCCCCCACTAACAGAGGGGCCCGGCTGGAGCCCCCCGCACAGCCTCACCGAGTGCGCATCCAGTGGGGGGTGTGAAGAGCACACCCTGAGCTCACGGACCTTACGGTCCCGCGGAAGCAGGGGGTTCTAAACAGTCCCAAGTGGATTATTCCAGAAGGGACATACCCTCTGTCCCTCCTGAGCACCTCTTGCCATCCAGTTCCCCCAGGTTTCTGCTCCTTGACCACAACCCTCATGGTCCTCATCCTAGGCTCCGGGAGGGGGCGTGCTGGCATGTGGGCCTTCCAGGGCATTGCCCCCACTGCAGGCTGGAAAGTCATGCTTCCTCCTTCCACGCAAACCACGTGGCCTTATCCCAGTGGCCTTTGCTTCTGATGGCCCTTTCAGACCCCAGGGGAAGCTCTGCTCTCATCTGAGCCTGGCGGGGGCAGGCTGTGCCCAGCAGCCAGAAGCCCATGGGCAGTAAGGCTGGGCATGCGGTCCAGGCAGCTCCAGCAGGTTGGCCGTTAGAATTTGCTTTTTTGCCGAATGCGTCTTCCTTCCTTTCCAGGTTTCTGGATGAAGTTCAGTCCCACTCAAACGTCAACAAGATGAGCGTACAGAACTTGGCGACTGTTTTTGGACCTAACATTCTACGACCACAGATAGAGGACCCAGTGACCATCATGGAAGGTGATGGGGGAGGCACGCCTGGGGGTTGTGGGGGCTGCCGGGGTCTGGGCCCATCTTGGTCCGGGCAAGTCCTCTGAACCGGCCCAGGGCCAGGCCCGCAGGAGCGGTGGCTCAGGTGGCGTTTCCATCTCTGGGGACTTGGCAGGAGCCTCTCTAGACCTCATCCCCCACCCCCACGGGTCCAGCTACAAAAGGAAAAGGAACTTTGCCCTGTGACCGGCAGCAGCAGGTCATCGGGTGCGATTAGAGCCGCCAGCGGTTGCTGTGGACAGGGGAGGCTGGGGGAGGGTGGGAGGGTCCGTGCCCTTGCTCTTGAACACACACATGTTTTTGCTTCACTTTCATGGTTAAGTCATCGCCATGGAGTCCTGGATGTTGGAGTTTTGCAAGCCCAGGAGAATTTCTCCTCTATGATAAATACTGATAAAAAGCCAACGGCAGCATGAGCAGCTGCTTTCAGTATGATGCTACCGAGGCCCGTATGTGTATCACCTAATTTCAGCCTTCACGACCAGCCCGTGCTGTGGCCGTGCCCCCATTTTACAGATGAGGAAATAGGCCAGGAGAGGTGAGGTGACTCACCAGAGGCTAGTCAGCCACACATCCCAGAGGGCACGGTGCAGGCAGCATGGAAGTTAGAGCCCGTGCTCCCAGCTGTGGAAGGCTGCTCTGGTCCCCCAGGTGCCTTTGCCCAGGGCGCCACCCACCGGGGCCTGCCCTCGCTGGGTCCCCGCCCCAGGCCGGCAAGGCCAGAAGGAGCCACGCTGGCTCCCGCCTGCCTCTCTTGGTGCTCAGGCCTCCGAATCCTTGCTTGATTTTTTCCAGGATTCCTAGTTGGCTTCAGCGGGAGGGTCCGCTCAAGCACTCAGCCTTCGATACCACCTGCAGGCTGCCCTAGTCTCTGGTCTTGGTTTGGCTGTGGGAAACAGGCCGGGCGGGGGCAGCTGGGTGGGCACCATGGTCCTTCCTTTACCGCCCGGGGCTCTGCCTCCCCCTGCCTTGACTGGTGTCCTCCGCTTCCTGGCAGCAGCTGGGGGGTGCCGCTGGAGGCACAGCGCTTCCTCCCTGCTGGAGGCTGTGTGTCTGGGGAAGCGCCTTCTTGGGCACTGTCCCGTCCGCCCCTGGATTTGGGGGTGTGGTGGTCCGCCTGCTTCTGGGCGCAGGGCCAGGCAGCCGGTCCGAGCTGCAGCTCCGCATCGTCCCGGGGCGCTCACAGCGAGGCCCTTGTCTCGCCCCGCAGGCACCTCACTCGTGCAGCACCTGATGACCGTCCTCATCCGCAAGCACAGCCAGCTCTTCACCGCCACGGCCCCGCCAGGGCTCGCGTCCCCGCGTGGGGGCCCGCAGTGCACAGTGGGCTGGGGCTCCGAGGAGGTCACGAGGGACAGCCAGGGAGGGCCCGGCGGCCCCGCTCTGCCCGCGCACAGGACCTCGTCTCTGGACGGGGCTGCCGTGGCCGGGCTGTCCAGGGCCTCCTCCACGGGGCTCGGCAGCTGCCCCGCAGCCACCGGCCCTGCGAAGAAGGTGCAGACTCTGCCGGGCTGGAAGTCGTCCTTCCGGCAGCCGGGGTCCCGGTCCGGGAGCCCGAAGGGGGGCGGCTCGTCCCTGGAGGTGCCCATCGCCTCCTCGGGCGGGAACTGGCTCATGAACGGGCTGTCCTCGCTGCGCGGCCACCGCCGGGCCTCGTCGGGAGACCGGCTCAGGGACTCGGACTCCGCGCAGAGACTCTCCACCTACGACAACGTGCCGCCGCCCAGCCTGGCGCCCAGCACCCCCAGCGCGGCCAGCAGCGCCTGGTCCGGGGCGTCGTCGGGCGAGGCCTCGGCGCGGGGCTCGCTCAGCAGCTGCACGGCCTGCCGCGCCAGTGACTCGTCCGCCCGCAGCTCGCTGCACACCGAGTGGGCCCTCGAGCCGTCCCCGCTGCCCAGCGACAGTGAGGACCGCGGCTCCCCGGGCCGGGGCCCCAGCGCGGACGAGGCGGGCGGCAGCCGCGAGCCCAGCGAGCCGGGCAGCCCGGGCCGGGAGCGCGCGCGCCGCTGCGAGGCGCTGCAGGGCCTGGTCGCGGAGCTCAGGGCGGAGCTGAGCCGGCAGAGGACTGAGTATGAGATGAGCATGAAAAGGTAAAGGCCCCCGCGCAGGTCCAGCCTGCCGCAGCACCGTGCCCCGCTGGGCCTGGCAGTGAGCCTGGGCAGGCGGCCGGCGCTCCTGCCTCTGGGAAGGCTCCGAAGCTGGCAGGCCTGGCGAGCAGGCAGCTCCAGGAACGCCCGCTGAGGGAGAGCACCCGCCTTTGCGGGAGGGGCCAGGCCCGATGGAGGCAGGCCGCAGTGTGTCTCAGCACGGAGTCCCATAGCCCGCGTGCTGTGCTCCCAGGCCCCAGGCCAGGCAGGGAGTGAGGACTCCCTCTGAGATCAGAACCCAATTTCTGTGCTGAGCGAGCCCTCCTCCTGCCCACACCCTGCGGCTTGCAGGCTCCCTCACGAAGGGGCCCTATCCAGCCTCCCAGCCTCGTGAGGACTTCCAGGGCGTCTGCAGGGGGCCGGGTTCTTCAACTGGGGTCAAGGGCAGACTGCACTGGACAGTGCACTGGGCTCCTGGCAGCGCCTCACGCCCCTCAGCCTCTCTGGCCCCAGGTCCCAGCAGCTGGCTGCCCTGTGTGCCCAGGGCCCACACACGAGCGGGTTTTGAGGGTGTCCTTTCTCCAGCAGGGGCAGTGGGGGTGGAAGGCATTCCTGCTGCCCGTTCTGAGCCTGGGGTTTCCACCGGGAGCTGGAATGGCAGCCCTGGGCTCTTGCTCTGCTGACAGCCACCTCCTGGGCACCAGGGAGTGCCAGGCACACGCAGGTGCCGAGTCTGGGGTGGGGGGCGGTGGGGGGAGAAACGGGAGAGGGACCTTGAGGGCAGAGGCCCCTGCCATGGGGGAGGTCACGGCAGGCAATGCCCGAGCCAAGACTTGGAGGACCAACAGGACAGAGCTGAGCAGAGGGGAAGGGAAACAGCACAAGTATACCCGAGGTGTGACATTGTTGGGAAGAGCCACAAATGTAGGCCCTGGTTTGGAATTTACCAGGCAGAGGTAGCTGCGGGGCACCCTCCAGAGACACAGTGGAAGGTGATCACTGCCTGAGATGAGCTCCCAGACAAAAGCTGCGGGGGCTGGGACGTCTCACTGTGCGGAAGGCTGTGCCACAGCAGGCGGCGCCAGCATCCCTCCCGTCTGCAGAGCCACCATGAGCTCCTTCCACCTTCTCAGAGTCATGGCTCCTCAGGGAGGACGCAGTACTGTTTGGTGATGGCCTCTGCTCAGACTGTCCCAGCCCCACCAGCTATTGGCTGAGTATCCCTGACAGGCCCTCTGGGCCAGTGACCTCCCCCGTCTGTCCTGAGGACTAAGTGGTCAGTGGGTGGGAGGGCTCGGCACCTCCACAGTGCCTGGGAACCTCCACCACTCGCACTAACTCCTGCTCGCTGGGCTGGAGGGAAGATGAGGTTCCCAGAGGAAAGGACAGCAGCGGTAGCCCTTGTAGAGGGGCTGTCATCCTGGTCGGAAGGAGGGAGGGTATAGAGTGAGGAGGGTCTCTGAGCCCAGGAAGGAGGGTGGGAGGTCAGCGCCCGTCCTGGCCAGCAGGCCTTGGGGGAACATGGCCCCTGTTCTGGGCACATGCGGAGTCACTGGGCGGGGCGGGGCGGGGGATGAGACTGGCTTAGTGCCCTGCCGGACCCGGACTCGGAACCCCTTCCTGATCGGGAGTCGGTCTTCCTTCGTGCATTCCCCAAAGAGAATCTGTTGTCTGTAAAGTACCAGACACTGTGCTGGATGCTGGGGACATAGCTGTGGCCCAAAGTGATCAGAATCTCTGCCCACATTCTTATTTGGGGAGCAGGGGGACAGAGACCATAAACAAGATACATTTTAAAAAATACATGGTGTGGGCTGGGCACGGTGGCTCACGCCTGTGATCCCAGCACTTTGGGAGGCTGACGCAGGAGGATCGCTTGAGGCCAGGAGTTTGAGACCAGCCTCAGCAACATATTGAGACCTTATCTCTACAAAAAGTAGAAAACTTATGCAGGTGTGGTGGTGCACATCTATAGTCGCAGCCACTCAGGAGGCTGAGGAGGGAGGATCGCTTGAGTCCAGGAGTTCGAGGTTACAGTGAGGCTCAAGGTTACAGTGAGCTGTGATCGCACCACTGCATCCAGCCTAGATGACAGAGCGGGACCCTGTCTCTTAAAACAAAATTGTAAGAGTTCTTTATATATTGCACATACTGAGCATGGAAGTGACCACCCAAACAGTTGCCATGTCCGGCTTGGGCATAGGGGCCATGTGGGGGGCCAGGAGGGAGGCTGGGGCACGACGGCAAAGGTCAAGGGACAATTTGAGCCCTGCCCCCCATGCGGGACCTGTGCTGCTCCCGCCAGCTGGCAGGTGACCCTCCAGCAGGACAGGTGTCTGCGCCGGGGCAGCGGGTGCTCTTTATTTTAGTGAGGACTCAGGGAGATCCCCATGGTGGCATTTCTGGATTACAGGCCGAGGGGAGCTGCTGGGGCTGTCGTGGGTGACGTTCTGGGGTGCTCACGAGGCCCGGCCCCCCCTGCCGCAGTGAGTGCGAGCAGGGCCGCCTCTGCCAAGGCCAAACCCAGCGAGCTGGAGCCTAAAACCGAGTGTCTCTTCTTGATCTTTAAGACTCGAGGAAGATAGTGCCGACCTGAGGAAGCGCATGTCCTGCTTGGAGGAAGAGCTGGAGCAGGAGAAGAAAAGGTACATCCTGCTGGAGATCAAGCTGCGGAACTCCGAGCGGGCGCGGGAGGACGCCGAGCGGAGGAACCAGCTGCTGCAGAGGGAAATGGAGGAGTTTTTTTCCACCCTGGGAAGCTTGACTGTTGGGGCAAAAGGTGCCAGAGCCCCCAAATAAAAGGAAGGGCAGAGCTCCCTTCTGTGTTGTCTGCTGGCCTCCCGCCACACGAGGAGCCAGACCCCCCCAGCTTGGACCTGGGCCTTCGGCAGGGCCAGAAGCCCTACAGCCGGCTGTGGGGACTGGTGGGACCCCACACACCCTGGCAGGATCCGGATGCTGCTCCAACCAGGTGGAGCCTGGTGGGTGTCAGAAAGGGGCAGTGTTTAGCCCCTCACCCGAGAAAAGTCCCCTGTGTCCACCTAAATGGGTGGCACCCAGGATCTGGGTAGCCACTGGGAACAGTTTGCTTTATTAAATTTGCTCAGAAAGCATGATGCCGCCTTACCCGATTTGTTCTTTATGGCTGTGCAGAGTGGGGTTTACCAAGTGACCTCCACCGTTTCAGGCAGGGCTGGGGGCCCCTGGGCTGTGCCCGTGGAGGGAGTGGACAGGCCTCCAGAGGTGGGACGCGCAGCTCCCTGGGGAGCACCCCGCCTCATTGCCAAGGCCGGACTTGTGCAGATCCAGAGCCTCCAGCTCCATCGTCCGGGCACTCCAGGCAAGATGCCTTTCCTCCCTCCGCTCTGAGCCATCTGCGCTTCTGAGCTGGCTTCTGTCTGGGGAGGTCCCCTGGGCCTTCCACCACGAGCTGCTCGCCTTTGCTTGGCCCCAGCTGTGCCCCAGGGTCAGTGCCTGTGAGTGGGAGCCCAGGCTGGGTGCTGCTTCTGCAGCCTGGCGAGGCGCGGGTGCCTGTGGCCTGCGTCTGCGGGAGCTGAGCCAAGGTGATGGGACGCGCTTGCTCTCAGTCCTCTAGGTGCCCACCCCTCACGCGGGCCCCTGCCCATCTCCAGACTCTCTGGGGGCGCGTGCTAATCCCGCGCCCTTCCCTGCTGTTCCTCTCCTCCTCCAGTTGGTCCTCAGACTTCAAGGCGCCAGCAGGGCCAGTCCCTCCAGAAAGCCTTTCCCACCCGCACCGCACACAGCCAGGCCTGTGGGCAGCGGGCAGCACGGCAGTGGCCTCGGGCACAGCACCGTCCGGGCTGCTTTCACCTGCTCCCTCACAGCGTCCTGACGTGGCCTCTTGCTGCCCCTGAGCAGTAACCTGCAGGGGGTTTGGGGGGAGTGGTGGTCACCAAAGTACCCCCATTTCTGACCACTGTCTCTGCAGAAGTCATTCAGGCCCAACCACCCACGTACCTGGAGTCACATATAAACCGACAACGCCCGGCCTGTTAAAATGGGCCAAGGCTTTAAATGCCAGGGTCTTGTGCTCTCAGGACATGCTGGTTCCCCACCATGACATGCAAGGCAGGTGACTCCATGGTGGGGAGCCAGCTGCTGGCCATCCCCGGGTAGCTAATTGGTGGCTCACAACTAGGAGTCCGGGTGCCTGCCATGGCTTCCGGCAGGGTCAGCAGTCAGGGCATCGCTGGGAGCTCGGGAGCGGCCAGCGGAGAGCCACGTCGTCTGCTCTTGGCCCACTGCCATGGCGAGCCGGCCATCTGCAGCTTTCCCCAAAAGTGAAATGCTGCCCTCGCCTATTCACGGAGAAAGAGAAAAGAAGACGAACGTGAGGCAACTTTTACTCCTCACGATAACCCAGTAAGGTAGCAAGTGGCCCCACTCTCCCTATTCAGAGGAGAAACTGAGGCTTAGAGAAGTTGGGTGGGAACACCAGTGCATTCTTATAATCCTATAGAGTTCCCGCCCCACAGTCCTGGAATTCTGCTGGCTTTGGGGAGAGATGCCACCAGGCTATAATAGGGCAGAGAAGACCAAAGGGGTTTCACGTGATGAAAGGAAAGGTGTCGGTTCTGGCTTAGCCACTACTACCCGCAAGGCTCGGCTTCCTGCCAAGTCAGTCCAAGGTGGGACGCGTGAGCACGTGAGCCACGTCTGCCACCTGCTGGCGAAACTAGGATCTGCAAACACAATTTTTACCTGAAAATTAATTGGCGCTATTCAGAAGTCTCCCTGTAGCCAGCACTCTCCGTCTTGTGCGTGAAACATCTGACTTCCAACTGTCACGCACACTGAGCACCACGGCCGGCGCGGGCGGGGCTCTGGCCTAGTGTCCCCGCCCCATCCACTTCTGTCTCCAACTGCGTTACATTTACCGAATCTGTTCCCAAACCTACGGGTTCCAGTTGTATCTGTTGTTGTAATGACACCAGTTAATATTAAGTAAATCGATGAATTATGAACATGAACAGATAGGGCATTAACTCTTTGGAACCCTAGTGGAATTCTTTAGAAAGATTCAGTAGAGGCAAGATTGGTAAAAATGTAGGATTGTGCTCTCAGATTATATCAAAAGCATTTTAAAACTTGTGTTTGACTTTAAAGGAAAAAACTGGAGATTGTGAATGTCTCACACTGAAAAACAAACGGGTTGGCAAAGACTGACGAATGTACATTTTTTTAAAGTTAGAAAACAATTTTAAGAGCGTGTGGTGTGTATGTGTGTGAGGGGGTGGAAAGGGAGGGGAGAGGACAGAGTCTTTGTTTTAACTGGCTTTCGAATGCCGAGCCACAACGAATCACACTCATTCCGGACAGTAAACGGGCTTCGGGATGGACTCCGTACATCCGGGCTTCCCTGGCCTGTGGGTAACACACGGAGTCAGGGACAGTAACGTGTTTCACAGACTCCCCCCGACCCCGGTCCCCCGCAGAGCCCTCCCGATATCCTACGCATCTCTGTCCCAAGTCTCCCCAGATCCCAGCTAAGGCGCCATGACACCGTCCCACTGCTGCCTCCCTGTACCACCTTGGCCAGAGTCACCACCTTTTCTACCAGGCACGTCACCGCTACTTCCGCCTCCCACCAAGCCCTGCCGACAGCTGAGCCCGGGGGTCTCAAGGCGTGTCATGGTCTGTGAAAACAGGGAGATATAGCCGCGGAAAGCTTTTTGGCAAACATCAAAGAGCTTGGTTTGTGGGAAAATGTCTAAAATGAGGATAGCTTCACAGAGCGGTGGTTGTTCCAAGTGCCTTGCATGTGTATCTCGTTTACTCCTTAGAAGTGTAGGTGACGTTATTCTCTACGCTTTACAGCTGAGGACACGGACGCACAGAGAAGTCAGGGACCTGGCCCGCAGCAGAGCAGCACGCACACAAAGACGTACGGTGTACGCCACGGAGGAGGCGCAGCTGGAAAGGGCATGGTGGGAACGACACATGAAATGGAACCCAAACAGTGTTCGACTGTTCTATTAATAAAAATTCAGTACAATTTTGAGGCATTTTTCTCAAATGAGGAATTATTTTCACCAACCACATAAAGTTTGGGACTACTGGGGATGAGAGGATGACTCAGGGGTCAGAGTGTACAGCAGTTCTCAGGTGCGAGACCACACAAAAGGCTTGCCTTTCT